AAAACTATTTAAAAAAAAAAAAAAAGTGACGATTTTACACATATCAAAGAAACCCCGGTAATAAAGAGTATTACTGCTTAGTCTATGACTTTGTGGAACATTGTAAACAGTTATAAACAAACATACAACTATATCAGACAACTAACTACAGGCATGTCAGCAGACTGCCTGTTGCATGTTTCAATCTATTCAAGCAAACTGATAAAATATACACTAGCAGATAACAGTATGCAAATAATTAAATTAATATTCATGGTTTGTAACAAAGTGTACATGCACCAACTATTATTCAAGATTAAGGTTCTCAAGATATTTTTGGTAGAATAAATAGAATACACAGACAGAGGTCATCATAATGTCGCCAATTTCTGTTCTGCACACAGTTTGTTTGTATTTTGGTTTGTTTGTGTGTTGTTTTTTTTGTTTATTCATTCATTCATTTATTTATTGCTACCTTTTACATCAGGGGCTCACAATATTTGTATTGACCAATCACAGTATTGTATATTTGTATCTAGTTTTCCCGCTCGAATTCAGAATCCCCACGAGGGTATTTAAGCATTCATTGTAATTGTTTCAGGGCTCTTCTATGTTATGTTCACGAATAAACAACTTTTGTTCTACTCTTAAAAGTACTTGTCTTGTCTGATTGCTGGACTGCTGGTATTACAAAGAATATTACGTCCAAAAAGGAGCACTATAATGAGCTACAGATTAATATACTTTTATTTTTCAAAAGAAGTTTAAAATACAGATTATAGACTACATACCTATAATGATCCAATGCTATTGTTGCGAGCTGGACATCTAAAGCTGAACTACTATTACTTTGAATAGATTTCATTGTAACAACCAGTGACCAAGAACTGACAAAGTTCTCAGAAAGAAGTTTTATAATACCCGGACTCTGAAGGGGTCCTTCACGAAGAGTCCGGGCTGAACCTAGCAAATGAACAAGAGTATGTACCGTAAAATCTTTATTAGAAGTGGCATCTCTAATAGAAGCTGTGCCAATTCTTTTAGAACAAATGAGAACGAAACATTCACCATTCATATGTGTAGATGCTCTAATAGAAGCCGCATCCCCTCTGTTGCATTGTACAATATCAATTGAAGTCGCTGTCAATGATCATGAGTTAATATCTATACCTTGATGTACATTTTTAATTTTGATTCAGATTTGTTAACACAGAAGAGCAAGCAAAGTATTTTTATCCACTTATATTGCTCACTGAAAAGGTATGGTACTTGTACAAGCACAATTGTACAATGTAGTATTCTAGAATTTACATAAATCTAAGAACTGGCTAAATCTGGAATGACAGACTAATCAGATTAAAAATTAAAATATTGTATTGAATATTTTTTTATTTAATTTACGTTATCATGAAAATACATGTAGAAGAAATCTTCCTGTCATTGGTAATTCCTCAATTCTGAAGCATGTTTATACCTCCATGGTTGAAGTGACAAACTCAAACCACAGAAGTGAACTCCTGTGCTTATTCTGTCAACATTTTTAAGATAATTCAATTTACAATATGTTGTATGCAATCTCAAGAGCTTTCAGAATATATATACTACATTAAAATTACACATTTTAATAATGTGTAAAATTGCACGGGGCATACATAAAAAAATGTATATATATTGTTTAAAAAGGCTAAATAATGAACTTAACTTTACATAGTGTCTTAGAGTGCAAAGTATGTTGAATGGTTCACAGGTCTTAGGTTGATGTCACAAAAATATATTCAATTGTTTTAATAACAAAACTTAGAAGTAATATTCATCTCTAGATTCAACAAGTCACTTGTGTAATTTACATGTGTGATTTAGATCCCATTCAGCGTGAGTCATACTGAATTGAAATATAGACTACTGCAGTCTACAACAAACACCAAATAGGCCAATATCTACACTAAACTACTGAATTGCACAGTATTCTATACAGATACAGATACAGAAGATGAACATTGTTGTAAATACCAGTGCATGATATATCCTATATACTGACACCCACCTCAGCAAGACTGGTCATCAAGTGCTCCCCAAAGTAATATTAGATGTACAAGTTTATTTTCTATTTCAGCCACCTTCAATGCTTCCAAATACGGGAGATATGGTATCTGGAATATAGAAGAAAAAAATACATTTTGATTGCACGAAATACATACATGTACCACATATGGTGAAAAATACTGACAAATTAAAAATATTGGCCAATAAACAATTAAATTAAAGTGATGTCATCAGAATAAGGTGAACTGATATGATGAAAAAGTGGTACAAAGTTATATACTATAGTTATGAATTACAAACATATCATAAAACTCATTAAAGGGCGGTGGTCGTTGCACAGCGCGTGTTCGAATTCCATATAAAAAAAACAATGTATTGTACATGCAATGTATACGCTGCTATGTGTCCCATATCGAACAGGACGCAACGAGGCGGCCACTGTCCTTTAAAGACAATATCCAGCATTATAATACAAACAGGTCATTTAGTGCCAAGTCAGTTAGCTATATACAGTGGAATACTTTATTTTCGCTGGAATTAATTTTCACTGAAAAGGCTTTTTGGTCATTTTTTATGGAATATATTTTCACTGATTTTTGATGAGTTTAATGTGAAATATAGGGAAAAAAGTTTATTCACTGGATTTTATTTTCACGGAATCATCCCTTCAGCGAAAATAGCGAAAATAATTCCAAGCGAAAATAAAGTATTCTACAGTATACAAACATAGAGTGCCAAGTTAAACATAACTGCCCCCACCAAAATAACTTACTGAACTGACCAACACATTGTTCACAGATATTCTACATTAAAAAATATTGCAATACAGCATTATAGAGTTCATAATAGAGAAAATAATAAAATATAAAGTGAAGCAGAGCATCATGGGTATTCCCTAGTTTACTGGTTGCAAACTCAAAAAATCACCTTCCATCGACCATTCAATATAAACTTGAATTTATAACATGCAAAACACATACCTTCATTCACAATTCTGATCAAAGGTTTAGCAGTGAATGACTTTGTTTGTTTGTTCATGATATTATAATACTGGGCATTGCCTTTAACATATTTCAACACAGGAAATCCATCGTATTGCATTGCTAAAGGGCACAACAAATATGTGACCATTCATGGTGAGAAATGACCTCCAATGACATTTATAAATTCAACCAGTGAATAAAATTCAATCTAATAATTCAACCATGTAGTCAGTATATATTAGTTTTTCTTTTAACAAATAAACCACATTCTAAAGTAATTATTTATTTACTATCCAGTTTTACCACTGTATCACCAAACCACTCCTATTGGAATGCAAAAAGTCTGGAATATTTCCTGCTGGAAGGTAATCTTACCTTCTTAAAAGGATAAAGGTTTCGCTCTAATAACGTAAATGCTTTCTGTAAATCAATTTCAGAATTCCACCTTATCGGCTTTTGAGACGAGCTTGGTAAATCTATGGCCTCCTCATTTTCAAGAATGTTCACCTTCTCCCCAGAAGGCAAGACTGTCATAACTGGAACAGATTCAGCATCTGATTGCAGTTCCATTCGTGGGAGAAAACCAATATCCACTTCCATATTCTCAGTTTCAGTCGGACCATTCAGCCACTCCATATCTGAGTTTAAGACAGTGGAATAGATTTAGTTCTATACATGGCATACCTGGAAATGCAAAGGCTTTCAAACAAAACATATGGATGGATGTGTATACAGAATTATTTTTATAGTCAATCGGGTTAAAATGCACCAAAAACAAGTAATCAAAGATTGAATATTCTGCAATAAATAATACCGGTAATTTTTTTTTATTCTACTATATTAAAATCTAACGCTGAGAAAATTTCTTACAAAGTTTTTCAATTTAAATTTTAAAAGTTTTTTTTTTTTTGGAATGAGTGGAGAATGTAAGTGGAGAATGGAAAAAAAGGGTGACAAGTTGACAAATGTTTATGAATAAGTATGATTATGGACAAGAAACTAGACAAGAAATTGGTTAATGAATTCAGTTTTATGAAAAACGATAAATGTTAATCATGATTAATTACCAGTATTTGTAAAATGATTAATTGCCTTCAATTGGGAACAGTACAAAATACGGAAATAATATGAAATCTACAGTGAATGCAATTTGATAATTTGAAAAATACAACAAATTTGACAACTGAGGGTAACTTCTGTAATTAATAGTTAAAAATTATACTCTAACTTCAAGTAATATTCAAAACAGCATTTAGAGCAATCTGTAATTTATGCTATTTTCTGATTTTCGAATAAAGTGTTCTTTGCTTTAAATAACTGAATGTAATGCCTGGCATGAATAGAACAAATTTTCTTTCCAAATTTATTTTTTGAACATCAAAAAATTGTTCAACTCTGAGATAATTATGCATGCATGCAGATTTGCTGCAGCTATAACTCAAGCAGTGATGACAAAACAACTTACAATCCAACAATTCACCTGGGGATTCAACTAATGACAGAATTAATGTCGATACACCATAAAAAGAACAATTTCATCTTGAGGTTTGACTTAATTAATACAGCTTGTACATAAAATAAAATTGAATAAAAACAAACTGACAATCGAAATATCTCCGCTGTCCTACAAAAACATTGTTGGAGTCAAATATCAAAACAATAGCTTTGGTAGTGTTTAAGAAGAAGTTGATTATACTATTTTTACCAAAAATATTTGCCAAAAATAGAGAATTAAAGATATCGCCATGAATTGAAAAAAAAATCTGACAGAGGTCCAACCAAGATATCTACATACCAAGTATCAAAGCAATTGAGCTGGAAGTTTTTACCAAAAATATGATTTATCTGCCAAAAATAAAGAGTATTGTCATGTTTTCAAGAAAAAGTTGAAAATGCAATTGTTGATGAACAGATGACGGACAATCCCCTATATGAACAGCTCCGTTCTGTCATCTTTAATGACAGTGGAGCTAAATAATAACAAACACTGCTCAATCCACTGAGAATATTTACAGTAGATACAGTATATGAATACAGTAGATGAAAACACTTACACCAAGAAATATTTAGACAAAACAAAACCACTTAGTAGTGTTGTATTTTTCAGTTTTCTTGGAACATGTATATCTATACCTGGGTATTAAGTGTTTTTTGTGACTGATGATGTGTATGTAGCTTAAGAAAAGAAATGTAACGACAAATACCGGTAGTCATATTTTGCCTGTGCTTGATGGTCAATAAATGGAATTTTGATGATTATTTCAAATTTGGGATGGTTTCCTTGATTTTAAACAGTCTTAATAAATGCAAGTATGGCGAAACTGGAATAATATATTTTAGATGTAATGTGTATATCTATTTTAATTTTTTACATTATCACAGAAGATGCGACTCAAGAAAACTAAAAGGATGACAATGAAAGGCTACTTACCCACATTAAGGCCTTGATCAGTTGGAACATACATGTGAAATGAATGGATATGGGATGCATCACGTCTTATAACTATATTACCGGTAAATTGAGCTGGTGTAAACCAAAATGGGTGAATCGGTGGCTCATTCAATTGGAATTCTGCATGGATTCTGCGTAGAACAAAGAACACATATAATTGCTATGGGTTTTTTTGTTTTTTTTTAAAATTGATCTTGAGCAACAACAAAAATTGTTGCCCATTTTAAATGCCCTAAAAATGTCCATAAATGCCCAACAAAAAGTTGGTCACTGGAAGTAACAAATTTTCAAAGAATTAACACTCAAAACCTGTCTTATTGCACTTTTTGTAAGCACAAATGGCTCTGCTTGCATATACTACTAGTATTTATATTACCAAGTAATTAAAAGAAAATATAGATAAATCTTAAAATGTTTGTAATTTTGTCATTATGTCAACATAATGTACCAGTCTCTGTGTTAGAATATTCACAAACCTAAACACTATATCCACAAACTGTTCGTTCTCAGCTCTGACCAATGCAACGCTTCCTTGCGGACCAAACCTTGTATGGACGAATGGTCTGGCATGAAACATGCTCAGTAATTGATGGATTGCAATCTCTTTGTCTCTGACTCTGGGTGGGAAAAATCTGTTACTTGACAGCGTACTACTGAAGTAGTTGAGATTGGATGATACAATGGTGTAGACATCTCCAACTGATATGACATCGTCCGGTAGAAAGGCTTTGAACATAGATACACCAAATGGTTTTATCTCAATGGCCGCTCTCTTCCAATTGCGAAGTCCTGATACTGGGGAATCTTGATTCTGGGAAATAAACAAATCAAGAAAGAAAGATATAATGTTCAGAGTTATCTAAGCAGAATTTGATTTCAAAATTCTGATTTACATATGATTTGAATATTATTAAACAAACAAAGCTGAAAACTCAGGCTTCTCGTAATAAGCTAATGACTGACGAATTTAATTAATCAGGTTATTAACTGTCAAACACTTTATTATAGCTGGAATTAATTTCGCTGAATAGGCATTTTGTGTGTTTTGTATGGAATTTATTTTCACCAATTTTTGATGTAAAATATAGAAAAAAAAAGTAAATTCCCTGGATTTTATTTTCACTGATTCTTTCCTCCAGCGAAAATAGTGAAAATTACGGTAATTCCAAGCGAAAATAAAGTTTTCCACAATCAAGTAGAATGCTACTCGTGAGTTTTCTACATGTGTGCATATTTTAATGCATGTAGCAATGATAACATTTTTCGTCAAAAACTGTCCACAATTAAACATCACTTTAGTATTATTAATACATGTATGTACATTTGTATATATTATTATACATTTTAAACACAAAACTATAAAATGTGCTCTTCCGACGCGTTCAAGTTTATTGACACGTTCACGTTTATTGACGTGTTCACGTTTATGGACACGTTCACGTTAATGGACACGTTCACGTTTATGGACATGTTCACGTTTATAGACACGTCCACGTTTATGGACATGTTCACATTAATGGACATGTTCACTTTAATGGACACGTCCACGTTTATGGACATGTTCACTTTAATGGACACGTCCACATTTATGGACATGTTCACGTTTATAGACACATCCATGTTTATGGAAATGTTCACGTTTATAGACACATCCACGTTTATAGACATGTTCACGTTTATAGACACGTCCACGTTTATGGACATGTTCACATTAATGGACCTGTTCACTTTAATGGACACGTCCACGTTTATGGACATGTTCACGTTTATAGACACATCCATGTTTATGGACATGTCCACGTTTATAGACACATCCACGTTTATAGACATGTTCACGTTTATAGACACGTCCACGTTTATGGATATGTTCACTTTAATGGACACGTCCACGTTTATAGACACGTCCACGTTTATGGACATGTTCACTTTAATGAACACGTTCATGTTTATGGACATGTTCACGTTTATAGACACATCTACGTTTATGGACATGTTCACGTTTATAGACACGTCCACGTTTATAGACATGTTCACGTTTATAGACATGTCCACGTTTATAGACATGTCCACGTTTATGGACATGTTCACGTTTATAGACACGTCCACGTTTATGGACATGTTCACGTTTATAGACACGTTCACGGACATGTTCACATTTATTGACATCACATTTAAACACTTTCCTTTGTTTACAATGGATGTAAATTTTGATCAATCCCTGCGGCCAATGAGAAATTACCGGTATGTTGATTTTGTCCAAAACTAACAAAGAAATTATAGAAAGATAAATGGACGAGTGTAAAACATTGAGATATAAATGCTATTTTTTTATAAATAAATCGCTTTTGTTTATACTACAAAAACTATATTGATAATATTGTCGATATGACAAACTGTTAGATATAAAACTTATTAGGTTTCCACACACACAGTACACTGATGAGCCAATCCAATAACTACTCAAGACTACTGGCAATATTTGAATCCATCATGTAAGCATCAAATCATGGCAAATATTAGAACATCTTTAGTGTCTTTGCAAATGCATAATTGATCAGCACTTATATACTCTTGTTTCTACATATAAAAATAATCCCACCAGGAAGAGAAAAATGACTCACGGTGTAACTCCATCTATCCATATCAATGGACATACTCTCAAACTTTAATGATTCAAAATGGGATTGCAGGAATATTACTTCTCCTGCTGGATCAATTTCTTCATCATAGGTGTGACTGGAAATCTGAAAAAGAAAAATATCATATATACCGGTATATATATATATATTGACTCTTGTGCACATGATTTGTGGGCGCCAAATTGAAATTTTTAATTGTTTTTCATATTGCATTTAGAAAATTGTAATATTCAACTTCTCTACCAGGAAAATAATAAGCTGAGTAAAATTCTGGATCCGTCCTTGTATTTATGTTAAAAGTGGAGCCTTGCAAATTCCCAGCAAAACAGGTAGGTACGAGTACAATCTGCTTGTACTTGCCAATTTTCAATCTGTTTCAAAATTAAATAAAATGTCCATTTGAATAATAGAAAATTTATTCAAGGGGGACTTAAATTACAATCTCAGAGATGACAACTGAGCTTTGTTATCGAGGAAACTCAGTTATCAAAATTAATTTTTTACATTTTGTTAAATTAAACACCAGGGGATTAATTAAACCAGTTGTATTTTATACTGTAAAATACATGTACTTTCATTTCAGGGATGATTTAGTGAAAATAAAATACTACAAATATACCTTTTTTTCTATATTTTGCATTGACTGCATCAAAAATGAGTGAAAATAAACTCATAAAAAAGTATTTTATTGTAGTTTGAAAATAGTACTTAATTGAACAGCTTGAGCTTTTTTTTTAAATTATATATATATATTTTTTATGACCATCATGATTCATATTATTTATTTATAGACATTGTTTAATACCATGGATTTATATGAAAATAAATATGCCAGTTATTAATAATCCATGGAGATATCGACAGATGAAAACAAGCGGTTATGTGAGCACAACATATATCTTTTTAAATGCATCGATGTGATAAAAAGGCAAAAATATCAAATGAGGAGAGGCAGAAAGGGGAGTTTTATTATTTTGTTATGAGCATAATTAAAATGTATAAATCGAATACTAAATTATACAAGTAATAAACATTCTCCAAACACATCTATGTACGATAATTAATCATCAGAAATATTAGTGTTCCTGAGTCTGAATTTGTCAACATTTTTTTTTTTTTTTACTATTTTGTGAATTTCAAGGATTTGTTTATTTGATTGAGTTGAGTACACTTACTTCCGGTCCAACAAGTCTATCTATCAACGGCTCAAACTCAGAAAGGCTTAGGTAGCCGTCGCCATTTCGATCAAACGAATCGAACAACGCCACACCTTCCGGTCCAACATCGCGCTTCAACATTTCCTCTCTCCATTCCCATTGCTCGATCTTCATCCGACTCAGTAATCCACAGTAGATTGCTACGAAAGCAACCATGATGGATATTAGGAAAGTCAAGGACAGACGCTTGAAACTGCACGAAGACAGGCGCCCAGACCTCTCGTCCTTTCTTTCAGGATGTGTTGCCATGATCGCAGCGCCCAGGCGATGACAAATTTTACATTACAGTCATACCGTCATAAATAGTAGGTAAAGTAAATATAAACGTTCCGAGTGCCAACACAATCAGGAAAAAAAGTTGTAAAACTCCTATTGACCCCCGTCACTCAAACGAATGTGATTGGATGAAAATCAGAGGAAGCGCGATATACTTTACACGTGACCAGAAGAAACAGCTGATTCATGTCAGAGGTCAGACATTGCATTCAAGTTTGTTACCACGATGATCAGGCGTTTGTCGTAAAATGTACCGGTGCACTGGTTTGAGATGAGTATTCGTGCTATCTGGGTTTCCACTCTGCCAGATAGTGGTAGCGATAACGTTCTTTATTCGAGGTAAGGTTATTGGTGACCGCCGAACTCAGCCAAATCTAACTCGGCCAGTAGCAAAAACTCGATCTGTGGCAGACAGAACTCAGCCTGCGGTCGAAATCGGCCAGTTACGTGTTAATGGGTTCGCGAATGGATGTTCATGGGCTGTGACTGTTTCAGTGATGCAGTAGCGAGAGTTGTTGATGGCAAGAGTTCTTTTTGTACCCCCCCCCATCTCTAACCCCAACTCTAACACTCACTCCCAATTACCCAATTCATTTGTATATGCCCCCTCAAGATAACTATGGATGTCCTTAGGAGGGGCATGTACAATTAAATGGGGAGTGCTGGAGGGTAGGGCAGGGTTAGGGATGGGGGGTACAAAAGGAATTCTTTCCACAGACAGACCCACCCATTAAAAAATGAAATATACAATAATGCATGGGCGGCAATAGCAGTGGTTTCACAGCGTTTTGGATCCGGGAAGGTATTTTGCTTC